TTACTCTTTGTCCTCTGATTTTCTTCTGAAACTGCTGGGCAAGGGAGAAGACTCAGTGGTGGCATGCAGCAAACAGTGTATGTGATAGAAGATGTCTAGACTTTTTACAGTTTTTTTAAGTCAGCTGGGATTTTTCAGGCTGTTATAAACATTGTTGTGATTTTCAACAGTTACTTAACTGTGCTAATGTGTTTTACTGTGTACGTATCTTTCCAGCTTTTGCACACGCGGGTGGAAAAATAGGTTCCCACAAACATGCTGTCTGTTATCATAGTGAAGAGGTGTAATTTCAAAACAAGGCAGTGGAAGAAAAGGTGGAACCAGATAGGAAAGCATGTGGGCACCCCATGTGTCTACTGGCAACCATTAATTTTCCCAATGGTGAGGTTAAGATTTGTTGCACTGGGGACTTGAAGGCATTTGAAACATTGTCCTGAAATTAGTATATTTGTTGTAGTTGATGAGCTTGGAGGCTTGTAAAGGTGTGAATGTCATACTTTAGGAGTTTGCTTTAGACCACTTTCTGTTCAGTAATTGTAGCTACTTAGGAGCTTTTTAATACTGAATTCTTGTCCCTTTCACTCCTCTTGGGTTTCTCACTGTGCTTTGATCTCATACCAGACAAGTGCCTGTGCCAGGAAAGCAGCAGTAACCAATGTGGCGCTGGATTGCATGGGGAGATATTTTTCCTGATGTGTGTGGTTTTCTCCCACCCTTCCTCAGTCTTTTCCTTAATGGTGATTATATACTCTGAGATTAAAGGGTGTGGTAATAGGTCGGCACTACAGCTGGTGGTGTTTGATAGCCCAGAGCAACAGAAGTGGGGTTTCTTCTAGTTTCTCTTTTGTTTTATTTTTAAGAGTTGTGAACTATGCATCCTTAAAATATGCTTTAAGGGAAGCATTAATTTCTGTGCACTGTATGGAAGTAAGTATACTTTGTCTACAAAGTTTTGAGAAGGTGCAAGGGTGCGGGAGTTTTCTAGCACATTTGACATGTTTTGTTACACTAAGCATTTGACAGCAGAAAAGCGTGAAATATTTTGGTATATTTCTCACCTTTTGGGTTGTGTCAGATGATGTTTTGAATTACTTTGTGAAAGAATCTGCTTTTTTTCCAGGAAACCAGCCCCAAACCGAGTAACAGATAAGCATGCCGCTCACTTCTGAGCTCACACTCATGTCTCAGGAGGTTCAGATGTTATCCCTTGGTTGTACAGCGCATATGTTTCTAGTTTCTGCAAGTGCAGAACAATGTGGGCTTGTATGAGTGTGTAGTAGTGGCACAAGTTAAAAGTGGTGAAGGAATACGTGAGGAGACTGGAGATGTTGCAGCCTGTTCAGTGGTTCATTGCTGTCTGCCTGCTGGGGTTTGTTGTCCACACAGCTTAGACACTCTGTTGGCAGAGCCAGACTTGCAGGTAATTGCTGTTTTTACTTAGATGCTCTGCAAAATAAACTTTTTTTTTTTTAAACGTGGTTTAAGCTGGGTTGGCTGATGTGACAATTATGAGAAGTGCTTGCTTGCTTATGTTGTGGGAAGGGGTGCCTAAGCAGAATTCTGGATTGTGTGGAGTAGCACTACTCTTGCAGAAGTGTGACATGCAAGTAGCGTAGCCTTGCAGCAGATGGGTGCTAACGAGTACATAGTGGGCTGAAGCCTTTGAGGTGCTGTAGCTGAAACTATGCATTGGAAGCTTCCCTGGTACTGGTGAGCTGGAAACACATACTTACCTGTGGCCCTGACTAAAAGCTGTGGTGAATGATGGATTTGAAAATATTGCGTAATACCCTGTTGAAGGCTGACGGGCAAGAAGTTTGGGAATACTGAGACAGCTGCCTGCCTGAACGGCATGACAAATAACAGATTTGTACAGATTGAAGTCTGTATAACTGTAATCAGTTGTATATTGTGCAACAACTTGACTTTTACTGAAATCACTCTGAAGCTAGCAGGGAAGTAAAATACTGCATCACTCTGTATACTACAGTACAATTGTAAAAGTGGTGCTGTCTAGGACTGCACCATCAGGGGAGATGCTCAGATCATGAGCTCCTTTTAGAGACCTCCCACTTCTGTGTGTTTAGGAGCCAGTCCTGTCTGGTGTTTGTAATTGCAAATGGTCTCCTGGGGCCTTTGATCTCCACATTTTTTTCCTTTTTTAAAGGGAGGCAACATAGACATAGGCAAAAGGGAAATGGCAAACCTTCGGTGGAGAAAGAAAAATTATTACACGGAAAAATTCAGGTGCATGGGAACTTGCAAGGAAATGTGGTATTTAAATAGTTCAAACAGTTTTGGGTTCCCCCCCGCCCTGCATTTTACTCAAACAGTATTTGTGCAACCAAATATCTGCACTCTCTAGGGTGTGACTGGACATATAGCCAGTTGCATTTGTGTGGTGCTATCTGAAGACCTCCACAGAGTGGAAATGAACAAGTCACTAATTTGATTCAGATTATCAATGTATCTTAAGAAAAGCTAGTAACTGCTCTACAGGATAGAAAAGATTCTTCTTTCAGCTGGAGAGTTGCGAATTACACAGGAAGAGGGAAGGAAATGTTGAAATGGTTACTCCTGTTGCAATGGAAAACTATATAGTAAGTCTTTTGATTGTGCTAAGTATCTCCTTATGGCTTTGTTTCACTGTTTTTTATTTGGGTAAGACAATGATTCTGCAGTCTCTTTTCCACCCATCCTTGGGGTGACCTGTGTTTGCACTTGAGTGGGATAGTTGGAAAACTTTTACAGTTTGCAAAATGAGGCTTGCATAGAAGGCAGAATGCTTTGTAAAAAGCAAAATTTGCTTGAAGTATGACACAAGTGTGTTTGATGTCTGCTGTAATTAATGTCTTTTTTCCTTTAAAGGGCTAGCAGTATTTTAAAAGACCTTAGTAGACAAAATTGTGGTGAAATTATTTTGTAAAAGTTAAATTTTGCATAACCATTCTGGATTTAGTTCATACAGCTAATCAATTAACAAACTTGTTACCTTTTTGTATCATGTTATAATGACCACTCTGTAATCATTTTGTCAATGCTGAAAACTTTTTAACCAAGTTTAAGAAGTTAGGGGTCCAAACCATAACAAAATCTCAGTGCTGGATCAGATTTCTTTAAATTTTTAATAAAAAAGGTACTTCAGTATTTGTTTCAGCTGGACAGAAATACTGCCTTTGAATTAGTTGAAAAGCTCCTACTCAGCTTTTAACACCACTTCTAAAGCATAGAAATGATTGAGTTCTCAGTGCTGGAAGATGACTAGTGGAGTGTAAAAGCAGATGTGGTGAAAGCAAGCTGTTCTGCAGTGCTCAGAAAGCGTTGGGCAGTTAAGTTTGAGAGCAGAGGATTAGGTTTGGGAAATAGTTTCTCAAAGAACAGAAAGGAGAATGATGAAAATCGATTTGCTACAACGAACAGGTGCAAGAAACATTGCTGGAGGACTTTGCATACTTTTTGCACTCTGGGATGGCTACTCCAGTTAATGTTTCAGTGCCTTTACTGTCATTGTGCATACATTTGGAGATGCATTGTCTCCCATGAAAGGGTAATCCAGCCTGTTCAATAACAACTCTTTTGCCTTGAAACAGTGAAGTATCAGATTTTGCAGGGTGTGAGACAAAAGGCTCCTTTGCTACTTCTCAGAATAAGGTTACGGTTGTCACATTTCTCCTTCGCTAGCGTGCCTGGCACTTCAGAGCATAGCTCAGACTTCCCTTTGTTAATGGAAGAGAAAGAGGATCTCTATGCTCTTCCATTATTGGTAGTTTTTATTTTCATAATTCATTTTGCTATTTAATACACATGATTATGCTTAAATCCCCTTTTGGATTTAGTTTAGAAAGCTAGGTTTCAGTTAATGAAACTTGAGCAGCCTTCTCAAAAAATGCCATCCCTAAGAAGCGTGAACTAAAAAAAAAAATAAAAAAAATCATGCTTTGTGAATACTCCATAGAATACAACACAGTTGACCAGAAAGCCTGAGAAAACAGTCAAATTCAGTTTTGTGTCTCTTAAAGGAAACCAGAAAAGCATGGTAGGTTAGAACTGCTGGCGAGGATGAGCCAGGCAGTGATGTTTTTGGTAGGCTTTCCTCATTGGCTGCCTCAGAAAAAGATGGAAACAGTACTCGTAACTGAAATAAAAGTAGCACTTGCTTCTGGGTGATAGGTACAGTGATCTGGAGCAGTCATGTTGCTTCCAGGCTTTGTGTCCGAGCCCAAGGAACTCAGCAATGAGAAAAACCATGAGGTTTGCTGAACAAGATGCAGATGACTTCTTTACAGGACCATTCCTGATGCACCTTTACTAGCAACGAGTCCAGCTGTTAGTAAACTAAAGAGTGTGTGGTCTCTATATATCTCAGCTAATTAAAAATGCTGACCGAGTTGCATCAGCGTGAATATAAATAAAATTGTGTTTAGTATTTTACGTATAAAATGTAAATATTTTTTTACTGCTTCCAGTGTGGAAGGAAGGCTTGTCTCTTTCAACTTCTTTTCTGTAAAAGAAAACAATGAGGAGTTTGTTCAGCTCCTGTGTGCAGAAGAAATACATTTAGGCATTCTTTGCATAACTGTGGGGAAGAAGGGGTTGCTAGCTTTCTCATTGTTCAGCTTGTTTCTAAATCGCATAATACAAGTTAACTGTGAAAAATACGTAGCGGAACTACAAAGAAATGGCCTGTGCTGTACTGTGCTCCCATGCCAGAAGCTTTCGAGGTTAATTTTGTTGAATATATATATGTGTGTATATACACACACGTGCTATTATTTCAGGCTGTTATACCATGGCAAATGACCAGTAGCAGCAACTGAGTGACTGATACTTTGTAAATAGCCACAGTTTCAGTGGCTGTCCTTCTTAAGAAGGCATGTGGCTTAAAATTGGTTTTTTGTTTCTTTTTTTTTTTCTTTTATGTATTGTACTCTGTATTCTGAAAGCCTGTCTCTCATTTTTTCCCCTCTGTGTATGTGTGCGTGTTCCAGTGACTTTATAACATGCAAGACACTGATGCCAGGGGGAGCTCCCCTGCTTTCCTCCGGCCTCAGAACGGGAGCAGTCACAGGTCTTCGGGGTATGTCCCGGGGAGAATTGCCCCTCTCCGTCCCCCGCTGCCTTCACAGAGCCATGCTGCAGCCGAATTTACCTCTGCGAGACAAGAAGCCCGGACAAGACTCCCATCCTTACCAGTGGATCAGCACCGCCGCCAGGCAGAAGCCAACAGGCATAAAAATACTCTCATTTGCTTTGCCATTTCTAGCCTTTCACTTTTTGTTGCACTGGGGATTTTTTTGGGAATAGCTTCAAAATATGCTCCAGATGGTAAGTTCTTTTGCAAACAAAATCATCCTAGAAGTTACAGTCCTTGTGAACATAATTCAATAATTCAGCATCAGAATTGGTGTTAAATGCAAAAATAGGACTCTTACTGCAATTTTAACATGGAGGGAAGCATTGCTTGGAGGCTAAGATGACCTGCTTTTATCAGTGTCATTTTTATATTTTTTTCCTGTGAATGATTTGATTTACTTACATGAAGCAAAAAGGCAGAGCAGTAAATAAAGACTGCTGGTGAGGGGGAGAGAAGCATGGATGTTGTATAAGTGTAACTGGTTTTGTCTGCAGAAAAAGCTGTCTGATATGTTCACAAATTGCAGACAAAATGAAATCCTGTCTTTTTTAGCAGTAACTAAGGAAGGTAGGAAGAATGTTCAAGTAAAAAAAATCTAAAAATCTGCAAGAATTTATACCAACAGTATGTTTGCTTTGTTTATACATAAATTGGGCAGGGACCTTTTTGATCTATTAGCCCTGATTTTTTTTCAGCTCATCTTAGAAAACTGGGCAACTTCCACAGAATTTGGAGAAACCTCCCAAATGTGTCAGTGGTTATAAAGCATGAACAAGTGACGTGATTAAGCACTGGTCACTAAGTATACATCCCTCTGGCCAAATACTGCTAGGACTTGCTATGAGGTGCAGTGCTGGTAGTATAGTTGGGAGCGTGGGTTGCTTTGTTGTTTTTTGTTTGTTAAAGGCAGAAGTCAGGTTTCTAAAAGCTAAACAGGGCTTTGAATTGAAACTGTTGACTATTGTAACACAACACACTTAGACTCCTCGGTGGCTTTTAGCATAGTAACGCAAAAGATTTAGTTTCCAAAGTCAATGCAACACAGGCTGAACAAATTAGATAATCAATTGGAGATTTCAGATGACAGTACAAAATGCATGCACTCATCTAACTGGAGCACTCTTGGTGCTTGGCTTGCCGAGATCTCTTCTTGGGTTACTGAGTTTTCCTAATAATTATAAAGGAAAACAAACAAACCCTGAAGGAGCAGAAATGCAAAGTTATTGCTATGTTGTGGTCCAGATCACTGGTAACAGGGGTATGTATCTACAGTAAGTGCTTCAGTTCCAGCCAAGTTCAAGAGAAGGCTGAAGGGTGACTTAGCCAGTTGACCCTGAGAAGTACTTTGGCAGGGGAACCTTTCTGCTTTGATATCAAGACTTTAACTTTTACTTAATTAAAAGTTTTAGATTTTCTTGATGGTTTTAGAAGTGCGGTATTATTATGTGCTGTCCGATATGTAAAATAATAGTCCCTTTACGCTTTAAAGGCTGATAATGTGAAGGAGATGGCTTGCCTTTTTTAAAAATGCATGTGGTTTTGGAATGGTTTTGTTTCATCTACGCTAGCTCATTCCAGAGGCATTGAGTTGTGCAGATTTTTTGCACTGAATGCATGGTCACCATGTGGTTGATGAATCACTGGGAATGCTGAGGATGTTGCAGGTTGCTCTGATTTAATAGATGGGCTTTTTTTTGTCTGTGGTAATGAGTTATGTAAGGGCTAAGGAGTAACCCAAGGTCATGACTGCTTTCCTTCAACATCGCACTGCTTCTCAATGGAAGTCCAGCCCAGTTTTCAGCATTAACTGTTGCACTATGTCTTTCTGATGTTTCCCTGCATTATCCTTGTAAAAAAACCCACAACATGCACCCATAGAATCCTTTGGAAACCCTGACACAGGAGAAACTCTTACAGGCACCAAGAAAAGTCTGGCTGAAATTTTAATCTTGCAGTATTGTTGTTGCAGCAACTCCCCAAAAGTTTCCCAACAGGTTGAAATGTTAATGCGCTCAGCTCCAACCTAGCACATGCGATACTGCAGCCAGCGACACCAGTTCCAGCTAGGTGTGTTCTTCTCAGGGGCTAATTGGAAATCCATATTGTCGGTACTTTTAATGGCTGTTTAAAAGGCAGTAGAGGGAATGCGAGACTTAGTAGTAATTGCGTGTAAATCCTAAACCTCCGGCATACATTCCCCAAAGGGAAAATGATACTTGTCTGCATTTCTATTCCTGCCTGTCAGCTGGTTTCTTTTTTCCTCCTTGCTTTTATCTTCCTGTCATCATCTGGGTTTTTTCTTTTTTTTTTTTTCGTTTTTCTAAAGAGTCCTGAACACTGGAGATCAGGGAGGGCGCTGGAAATGCAATTTCCTTCCCCATTTCCAGGGGCTTGTGCTGCAGGGTCAGGATGACAAGCTGGGGAGGTTTTCAGGGAAAAGTTCTGCTTGGCCTTTTCAGCTCTCAGCTGGAGCTTGCCCAGGGTAAACAGGATCCTCAGAAAATTTAGCTGCCAAACTGTGATAAACTTCTGCTGAGCATAATATAACACTGATAACTTTTTCCCAGAGGCCTTAAAAACTCCAGACTCGGTGGCTAAGCAGGTAGAAAGCATCTATTTAACTACATCTTGAGAACTGTTTCCTGCCTTTTCTCCTGCCAAATTTCATGTCCTTGCTCCAGCACATGGAAGGTTCTAGAATTATTTTGGGGGGGGGCAGGGTGTTTTTTGTGGTGGTTTTTTTCTTTCTCCACCATTTGCAAAAATACCACTTCCCCACTCCACCAACTCTGTTAGAAGCAACTAAACCTCAGGAGAGCTGACAAATGCTCTGAAGTAGAGGCTTGCCTTGCAAAATTTTCAACGTGAGTGGTTAAATTTGGTAAGGCCATAACTACTTAATGTTTTCTGGGCTATGCTTTTGTTTGCATTTAACCTTAACTGCAGAGGCAGTGACTATGGCCTGTAAAATATAATTTTGGGGGTGACATTTGGTGAAGTACTAAATATTTGATGTTTCCTTGCAACCCCACTGCAATTGCTAAGGGAGAATTTCAGAATACTTTTGCTAAGAGCATCTGATCTGCTTGCCAAAAAGTTGATCCACCATGCTTCAGAAACATGCTTGCCTTACAGGAGTGCCTATTTCTAATGCTGATGGCTTCCTTGCTGGATCGTAATGTACAATAGATATTTTTTTTTTGAGTTACTGTGCTGTATCTCTCATTTCTGACTCAACAGAAAAATTTACAGTTACTAGATCTTCTCTTCTGTGAATCACGCTAAGCAGAAATCATCAGGTTGCTGACTCATGGTTTCCTCACATTGCCCTTTGCTACCAGCCAGGAAATACGTTTCTTCACAGTGCCTGTGTGTGTGTGGTGTCTGGGGGAAGGGGTTTAGTGACTTTGCATGAGTCAGGCGATAGACTTGCATTTATCCAGTGAGCATTCAGCAGTCTTGCTGATCGCGATGCTTCTTGCTTTTTGGCTTTCCCTCATGTGTTGAATTTCACTTTCTAAATGCTGTCTTCTTAAGGTCCCACCCAAAAGATTTTACTTTGTTTTTATTTTTGTATTACTACTTGGATGCCTTTTGCCCTTATGCAGTTCTGCTAATTTTTTCCCACTGGTAGTCAAATCCTGGTTTATGTGGGTTTCCTGAGTTGGAAAGGATTTGAAATGTGGAGAATAACACTGAAGGAAAAACATTTCTGTCAGCAAAACTAAGGCTGGCTTGTGTTAAACTTGTGGATAGGTTTTACTTTCTTTAGATTTTGGAAGAATGGGCTATTGCTAATAGCTTTTTGCCCCCAAAGTTGCATTGCAGATGTGTGGGTGTTCTTCACCAGAAGATAGGATGTGAAAAGGCTGTTTTGACTGTTACTCTCAGTTGGACTGCTAAACTGTTTATTTTGGCATCTTTTTGGTTGTCTTTTGCTTAAGGAAAATGCTTTCAGTCTGACTGGTTTTCTTGGTAAGAAAATCCAGGGAATATACTTCCCGTTTCTGTTTTTGTAGCATGTCTATGCTGCTGCATTACTCAACTGCTTAATATGCTAAAGGTGTGTGTGTTGTAAATAGTACATTGTGATGTCAGGTGAAGTTACAGCACAACACTGTCACTTCTTGCTGCTGCTTCTCCTTTTCTGGCTTCGTAGTATGGTGTCATTGCCTGTGTAGTGCCACGCCTTTGGTAGGGTTTCAGTTGGATTTCATGTGTCTCTGCTCTCCTCTGGTTTGTAGCCTGATATTTAAGCTGACTTCTTAAGGAGTGCAAGCCATGAGTTTAGACCCAAATGTCTTGTCTCCCAGAAAACTGCTCTAACCAGAAAGGTGTTATACTAAATATACTAAGGATATCTTGTCCCTTCTTTGTCCCTTACCTGCAAACCTACACTGAAAGAAGTGATTTGCATGCTTAAAAGCAAGAAGGGATCAGCATTTCTCACACAGAGAGAGATCCTGAGGGAGGTGAGATATTTAGATGCTTTACAACCATGCTAGCTGGCCTAGGACATCCAGTGCTCAGTGTGACTGCTGTGGATCTGAGTGCTTCCCACTTACCTCTCCTCATATGCCGCAGGTGATGTACAAAACATCAAAAACAGCAGATGGTGGTCAAAAGCATCTATTGTCGACAGTATATGTTGACAGTTCGGTCTGTGGTCATCAGTAGGTTAATTCAGTATGAGAATGCCTTCCCATCCTTAAGAGTTTAGCCACCTTTCAGGTATCTTTTTGGCTGCTCGAATACAAACAGTAGCATCCATGGCTGCAGTATTGTAACCACAGGAGGAGGTGGGAATCCTTTGTGGGTGATTGACTCTGCCTTGCTCGTGTTCATCCTAGTGCTGCCTTGATTGATGTAATGATGCTTGTTTTTAAAAGGCTGAATTTCACATTGTATTGCAGAAAATTGTCCCGATCAGAATCCTCGTCTTAAAAACTGGAGCCCTGGAAAAGATCCTGAAAAGAGAGTTTTTATCAAAAAAGGGGATTTGTTTCGTCTGGACTCAGACGCTACAGTACACTCTATAGTTATACAGGATGGAGGTATGAAATGGCAAGATGAACATCATGCTTCAGTTTACTACATAGTTTTTACTTCTGTGATTAGATGAAACATGTGTTGGAATCTTATATTGCAGCTTATTGACCAGATCCCTACTTTTACTTTTCAGCCTGCTACCAGGCCAGGAATATCATTAAATGATGAATGAACTCTGTAGAGTCTTTTCAGTGGAGCATTGACGTGGTTTTCCGTAGGATGTAGTAAAACAAGATTTGTGTAGTAGCCTTCCTTGTACAAGATCCGATTGTCTTCTGATGGTGACTGTGGTATGTTAGTAATTCTCCCAAAATGGCAGAAAAAATTAAGAATAAACCAACTAAATTCTTAGAAAGATAAATCACAATTGGTAGGAGTTACTTCCCAAATAGTCTTAAACATATATAAGAGTGTAACAGTTTAATTCATGGAGTGGAAAATAAATCAGTAAGTTTTCTGTTGTTCTTATTGCAAACTTGGTTTTTTGAGTCCATCTGAATTTTAATTTTACCTGCAGAAATTTTTTTTTTTCTTTAGGATTACTTGTTTTTGGTGATGATAAAGAAGGTTCTAAAAATATTACCTTGAGAACTCGATTTATCCTGATAAAGGATGGTGGAATGCTTCATGTTGGAGCAGAGAAATGCCGCTATAAATCCAAAGCAACTATTATTTTGTATGGGAAGTCAAACGAAGGTGCTGATGTGCCAGAATTTGGCAAAAAATTTATTGGAGTGGGCCCTGAAGGAACGCTGGAGTTGCATGGGCACCAGAAGTTATCATGGACTCTTCTGTCAAAGACTATGTATTTCTCAGGGCTGGCTTATGGTCATTATACATTTAAAAAGAATTTTTCCCGAGGACTAAATGTGAGAGTAATCGATCAGGACACAGCAGAGATTTTGGAAGTGCTGAAGTTTGATACTCATGAATTTTCAGAAGAAAGCTTGAAGCTCCAGAACTTACTGAAAAATGGGAGTCCTGGTCGCATTGTTGCTATTGCTGTAGGAGATTCAGCTGCTAAAAATCTACTGGAGGAAACCAGAGTTACTATTCAAAATCTTCTGGGAAGTAAGTTTGTCAGAGGATTGAGTTACAGGTAAATAATTTATTTTTCCTTTTGTGCTGAGTGAAGATTAGATACAGATTCTGCTGCCTTTGGGGGATTCGTTAAAGCTTGGCAGTGTCTATTCTTAAAGTCTTCAGAGGATTCTTGTTGTTGTAGGTAGTATTGCAGTAGTAGTATTCAGCGTGCAGTATTTTGATAGTGCAGAGACTGATAGTTACAGGTAACTGGGTGATAGACTTTATTGCTTACTTGTAATTGCTCTCTTCCACTGTTCTTTACAGAAATTAAAACTGGGTGCAGCAAGGAATCTTTTTTCTCATTCAAACACACAGATAGAAACAGTTGCTAGGTGAAGCGTTTAATGCATATGACTTTGTGATTGGAGGAGCAAGGAATGCCAAGCTAGAAATGGAAAACAAGGAAGGAATGCTAACCCTGTGTATTGAACAGCAGCTTATTCATATCTGTGCACTGTTAAAATGAAAGTACATTACGCCTCCCCTGATTCTGCAAGGGGGCTGACCTGTAAAAATATTTTGTTATTGAAGTACACTTGTAAGGTGTTTCTGTATCTTGTGATCATTCTTTTCAGTTGGTCAGGGTTTGGGTGGTGGGACAATATAAGAGATAATAGGAAGTATTAAAGCAGGAAACTCAAACTGCTGTGCTGTTCATTCAGTTGTTGCAAATGACTTTTTTTGCAGTGCATGTTCTGAACTTGGCTTTGTGCTGCTTGGGGTTAGCAATACAAGTGAAAGGGACACCAAGTGTTCTAACTAACCATCAGTCTGTTCTCCAGCTTCCTTTAAGATGGTGTCGTATAACCCCTTTCTACTTTCCAGTATTTACCAGGAAATCAGCCGTGTAGTTTTTCTGTTCTATTCTTACCCCTCACGATCGGCCAACATCTGGATTGCAGTTTCCTCCCTCTGCTTTGGCAGAGGCAGGCTGGGGCGTCAGTCAGGGTGGCATGTTCTGACCTCAGTTCCCATCAGGAGCACGTTTGTGTCAGTGGCTCTGTAAGCATGTGGTCATGGGATGGAAAGTGCGTGCAGCGCTGCCTCTGAAGTAGTTTGGTCAGAGTTGCTGGGGCCTGGATGTCCTGTAATAAGTACCCCCTCCTGAAGGCAATGAAGCCCGTGTGGTGGTTCTTCAGGTGGCTGTGCAGCCAGCCCCGACCTGGCCTGGAGGTCTGGGTTTCTGGTGTTCGGCTCTGCCCATGACCTCCATGACAGTTTGTCTGAAATAAGGAACTTCAGCCTGCAGTTGGGAAGAAGCAGCCTTTCCTTCTGCTCTGCTGAACTGATTCTTGTCTGTTTTCATTAGTCAGTAGAGGCTCTGTAAACACATAAAATTGTCGTCATCTGCTGTGGAAGACTGGCGATAAGCTGTCCCTGAGTCCTCACTGAGGACAAGCAGGGCTGTTTTGTTAGATCTGTAAAGCGATGTAAGGTGAAGGAGATTTTGGCATGGAGGTGAATACTCTGTTACATGTCTCTCCCCTTGTGCCTTTTCCCACAAAATAGCGTGCATTAAAATGACTTGATATTTATTTTAAACGTTGGCATGTGAAACATTCAGCTTGCTTGCTCCTGCTGCTACTGAAAAGCTGGCCCAATGCGTGCTATTCCTATGAACAGATGAACACTATAAACAGTTTCATTTGACCTTTTAATCCCAATCAGTAAGAACGTCATGAGGGGACTGAGATAAAGGCAACTGGATTGAAGGTGGTTTTCATATCTGCCTTTCAATCAGTCATTAGCAACAGGCTACATTCCAGCTAGCTGACACTGTTTTCATTTGGGGTGAGTGATTCAACTTTAATGATGCAAAATTGTCCAGCTTTTTAATAGATGATCTCGACTGCTTCCTCTGTACGTATAATTATGGCATTACAGAGCAGTAAAGGACAGCAAAATAGTCTTGCTTTCTGAACTTGATGGCAGCTTTCCGTGGCCTGCAATTTGTTTTTCATTTCCAAAAACTTGGACGCGTTAAGCAGAGCTGTAGGAAGGGGGAGTGCATCCAGGACAGTTCCCTGATCTGTGCCGGTGCTCAGCCAAGTAGGTGTCCAGCTGAGGGAAGAGCCAGCAAGGAGGGGAAAGCAAAAATCCTTGGTATCAGCCTTCAGAAACATCAGTGATCCCTCATGCAAAGGTTGTATAACAGTATGCAGTTCCTTTTTCTGTGTCTGAGCATCTTGAACGATTCAAAAGGTATTGCCCATCCAGTACAGTGATTGTCAGCGGCCACTGCTGGCTGTGTCCATCCCTCCCGGCCATCTCCTGGCATGCCATGACAGCAACGGGCTGCAGCGGGAACGTTGGCACTGGCTCCTAGTCTTCCTGTGCCCTGGTAAAGCTGTTTGGGAGCAGGATCCTGTATCATTTCTGTCTCTCATCTCTTGTGGTTTGGTTTTGGAAAAAGCGTATCTTGTTGGATGTTGTACTGAAAATGTGTCTGAAAGTCCTCTCCATTAAGAGCTCTTGTATTTTGCCAATTTATATATAGGACATCCGATTATTTTAAACTATGTTTCTTTCCAGTGAGGTCTGCCCATTTTTTTTTTTTGTGCAGTTCAAGAGTCCATTTTAAAATTAACTTGAAAGAGCAGGCAAAAGGATTATTTATGACTTTTATTTATTATTTATGTCCTTTACCTGTTTGTGAAAAATTTGTTAAAGACTGCTATATTTAAACATTTATTTTTGTTTTTCACAGGCAAGCCTGGGCTTTTGTTGGTGTCATAGGTGGTGGAAATTCTTCCTGTAATGAATCAGTGAGAAACTATGAAAATCACAGCACTGGTGGGAAAGCTCTTGCTCAGAAAGAGTTTTTCACAGTTGATGGTCAGAAGTTTGTTGTGAGAGCTTACAGCGAATGGAACGATGGTAGGAAAGCATTTTGTAAAATCCTGTAGTTGAGGAAGAAGTAAAAAATATTGTATATGCTGTTTTCATTGGAAGTATTGGTTGCAATTTAAATTTCTGAATGCTGCTCTAAGTTGTTTTGGTTTGTTTTTTTTTTCTCACTATGAATGAAGTATAAGGACACTGTTTTTCTTCAGTACAACCTATTTTCTTGATCTGTTTGCATATAGTATGTGAACAGCATAACATTGTGTTGATTTTTAATATATTTAGATAGAGATAAGGAGTTTTATAAAAGGCCAAAACAGACTTTTTTTCCTTTTCTTTTAGTAATTTGTCAGTCATGTATATTTCAAATTTAATCTGAGATGATGATTATGAACCTAAGAAGAAAACTTGGTAGAAACCAAGAGAAGTGTTTTATTCTTGTTACCATATTCTGTTGCTATTTGATGCTGAACTTTATGCGGTTTTTCTCCTACCAAGGTGAATCAGTAGTATAAAGAGCCTGGAAGGCCTACCACTCATTTCCTTTTATCCTTTATTCATTTTTGTATTTAAAATATCCTTGATCGGAGTTTTGCCTTTTATGGGCAGTCATCTTTTTCTGTTTGTAAAATTACTAAGCAATATTGTATTGCCTCAGAATTTTTTTAAGGTAGTCAGATATTTATTTGTTAAGTAATTGAGCTATTTGATACTACTCCTTTACTGTTCATTGCAGCCCTATGAAAATGTATAGACTTACATTTAAAAAAAAATCCACAAAAATACATCTTTTACTTGCTGGTACTGTAGAGTTAGGGTGAAGAGTAAGCAAGAGTTGTTGAACAGGCACATGCCTGCAGGGCTATGATCTTATTGGCATCTTGGAGACATGGTGGGATGGCTCCTGTGACTGGAGTGTTGGGGTGGAAGGATACAGGCTCTTTAGGGGGGACAGGCAGGGGAGACAAGGGGGGGGTGTTGCCCTCTATGTCAATGACCAGTTGGAGTGCATGGAGCTCCACCTGGGGACAGAGGAGGAGCTGATTGAGAGCTTATGTGTCAGGATTAAAGGGAGTGCAGGGACTGGGAACATTATAGTGGGGGTCTGCTACAGGCCACCCAACCAGGAAGACTGAGCAGATGAGGCTGTCTATAGACAGATAGGAGCAGCCTCACATTCACAAGCCCTGGTCCTCATGGGGGGAGCCCAACCACCCCCATATCTGTTGGAGGGACAGCATAGCAGGGCGTAAGCAATCCAGGAGATTCCTGGAATGCATTCATAATAACTTCATTTTTCAAGTGATAGGGGAGCCATCAAGGAGAGCTGCCATGCTGGACCTTGTTCTCACCAACAAGGAGGGGCTGGTGGCAGATGTGAAGCTCAAGGGCAGCCTTGGCTGCAGTGACCATGAAATGGTGGAATTCAAGATCCTCATGGCAGCGAGCAGGGTGCACAGCAAGCTCAGTACCCTGGACTTCAGGAGAGCAGCCTTTGGCCTCTTCAGGGACCTGCTTGGTAGTGTACCATGGGACAAAGCCATGGGGGGAAGAGGGGCCCAAGAAAGCTGGCTGGTATTCAAGGATCACCTCCTCCAAGCTCAGGAGTGATGCATCCTAACAAAGAGAAAGTTAAAAATGCCAGGAGGCCCCGATGGATGAACAAGGAGCTCCCTTTTAGGCACAAAAAGGAAGCCTACAGAGGCTGGAAGCAAGGGCAGGTAGCCTGGGAGAAATACAGAGAAATTGTCCGAGCAGCCGGGGATCAGGTTAGGAAAGCCAAAGCCCTGATAGAATTACATCTGGCCAGGGACATCAAGGGCGACAAGAAAAGCTTCTATAGTTACATCAGTGATAAAAGGAAGACTAGGGAAAATGTGGGCCATCTCTGAAAGGAAATGGGAGACCTGATTACCCAGGACACGGAGAAGGCTGAGGTACTCCATAACTCTTTTGCCTGTCTTCAGCTGCAAGGGCTCTAGCCACACCACCCAAGTCGCAGAAGGCAAAGGCAGGGACTGGCAGAATGAAGAACCACCCACTGTAGGAGAAGATATCAGGTTCAGTACCATCTAAGGAACCTGAAGGTGCACAAGCCCGTGGGACCTGATGAGATGCATCCATGGGTCCTGAAGGAACTGGTGGATGAAGGTATTAAGCCATTTCCCATCATATTTGAGAAGTCCTGGCAGTCTGGCGAAGTTCCCACTGACTGGAAATGGGGAAACAGAACCCCCATGTTTAAAAAGTGAAAAAAAGGAAGAGCTGTGGAACAACAGGCCAGTCAGTCTGACCTGTGTGCTCGGCAAGATCACAGAGTAGATCCTCTGAAACTATGCTCAGGCACATGGAAAACAAGGAGGTGATTGGTGACAGCCAACATGGCTTCACTAAGGGGCGTCATTAAGAGCAAATTGTGCCTAACAAATTTGGTGGCCTTCTAAGATGGGGTTACAGCATTGGTGGATAAGGGAAGAGCAACAGACATCATCTACGTGGACTTGTGCAAAGCATTTGACACTGTCCTGCACAACATCCTTGTTTCTAAATTGGAGAGACATGGATTTGATGGATGGACCACTCGGTGGATAAGGAATTAGCTGGATGGTCATACTCAGAGTTGCACTCAACAGCTTGATGTCCAAGTGGAGAACAGTGACGAGTGGAGTTCATCAGGGGTCAATACTGGTATTTAACATCTTTGTTGGCAACATGGACAGTGGGATTGAGTGCACCCTCAGCAAGTTTGCTGACGGCACCAAGCTGTGTGGTGTGGTTCGACATGCTGGAGGGAAGGGATGCCATCCAGAGGGACCTTGACAGGCTGGAGAGGTGGGCCCGTGCAAACCGCATGAAGTTCAACAAGGCCAAGTGCAAGGTCCTGCACGTGGGTTGGCAGAATCCCAGGCACAGCTACAGGCTGTGTGGGGAATGGATTGAAAGCAGCCCCGAAGAGAAGGACTTGGGGGTATTGATTGATGAGAAGCTCCACATGAGCCGCCAGTGTGCACTTGCAGCCCAGAAAGCCAACCGTGTCCTGGGCTGCATCAAAAGAGGCGTGACCAGCAGGTGTGGG